GTTCATAGCGAGTGTCATCGTTTTAGTGTCCCGATGTTGGTTTAGTTATATTCAGCTACGCTTATCTATGCTTGAGAGAGGGACATGCAATCTATACAGTGACTTCTGGTCTAAATAACCATACATTTATCCTACGTAAGGTTACATGTCTATCTATATGAGTAAGTTGAGTAATAAACAGTATTTGTTATCCTTGCTAAGTCTTATCTATAACATAAAATAACTCTGTTAACAATGGGAGTAATGATCAGGCTATGGCAAGGCTGTATGGAGCTGGGATAAAGAGGGCTAAGCACTTCCCAGTGTCTGGCCACACATGGTTCTGCAGTTAGTGTAGTTTTGAATGTGCCATGCTAGATGTAAGTTGAACAGGCATATTAAGGCATATTAAGGCATATTAAATCACGCGTGTCTCAGTCCTGCAATACAAAGGTAATTAACTAAATGTGGAACACAGAAATGTAAGCTAAATAAGACGATCGCTCGTGTTGGGGAGACAATGCTTAGAGGTGCTGTCTAGTGGCAACCAGGATTCCGTATAAGGGTACCTACTGCAAGGTGAGTAACCTGAGCTGCAGGTCTTTACCAGCTGTGACAGTGTCCCTTTGGGGGCTTATTGTAGAGGTCAGAGTCCAGCTACACTCGCGTTTTAGGACGTCCCTTTCAGCATATGTCCACCGGGTGTATAGAATTGTCCAGCTTGGGGGAGTCCTCGTTGATACCAAAGACTCTAGTTCAGTGTCCCTCACGTGAAGGTAATTTTTGCTTTGGCAAACGGATTATCTGGTCAGCAATTTGTCTCCCTGTAGGACCGGGTATTTGTTCAAGTAGTGAGTGCCATGTACAGGTCGGGTGTGCGACCTGTCGGTATGAACGGAATGGATCTCTCCGGGTCCCACGAGAGTTGTTGTTGGGGGGTTGCTCTCTTCTGGCCTACCTGAATGAGGGAGTCCAGTGGTAGGCCCAGTGCCTGTAGGAGCGGAGCTGCGTCGGTCAGTTCCCTGATCTGGTAGGAGTCCGGCCCCTGCTGTACGGTGAGAATGTGAGTCTTCTGCCATCGGTATTTAATGTCTCGTTGGCGGAGAAGCGTGGTAAGTGGCTGGAAGGATCGCCGCCAAGCCAGGGTGTCTCTCGAGAGGTCGGCAAAGAAGCTCACCGCCATCCCATCAAATTGGTACGGTGTCTTGCCCCTCAGGGTGACTTGGATTGCTATTTTGTCCTGTCTGGTTTGGAAGGTAAGTATAGTGTCCCGTGTGGCTTCGGTTGGCTTCGGTTGGCGCCTTTGGCGATTTGGGGATCCTGAATATGTTAGCCTGTGTGGGTGACAGTATAGCTGCAAGGAGGCGCTTGATCACCTGTGGTAATTCTGTGTCTGGGATCGTTTCAGGGATCCCTCTGACTTTCAAATTATCCTGTCTCCCGGCATCTTCTTGCTCCGCCATGCGGTGTTCATGTAGCTTTTGGTGCCATTGGAGATCTTGCACGTTTTGTCTAAGTTCCCAAATGTCTCGGGTAGTGGTTTCTATTGTACATTCCATTGTGTTTAAGTGAGTTGTTAACCCCTTCAGGTCACCCCGTAGTGCCGCAATATCATTATGCAGTTCTTTATGATGATCTGCAAGAAGCCGTGTGAGGACCGATATAGTCACGGGTGCGGTGTCTGGGTTAGTGCTAGTCGCATAGGCGTGCACACGGGGTGTGCCGGGTGTGCCTGGGCACACCCTAATCCCCGTGGCACGCCTATGGTTTGAGTCCTGCAGGAACAGCGTTCCTGCACTTTTTTTGAGCAGGAACGCTGTTCCTGCAGGCACTCAGCGCCCCCTGTCTCACCTCTTGCCCCTGTCATGGGGGGGTGGGCAAGAGATGATGGATCTCCCCCTCTCCCCAGCTCAGCCGTGGCGAGGGAGCTGTCTGCTCTCTGCTTCCTCTCGCCACGCGCTGATGCCGGGAGCCGGAATATGACGTCATATTCCAGCTCCCAGCTACTGTAGACAGCCCGCACAGCGAGAGGAAGCAGAGAGCAGACAGCTCCCTCGCCGCGGCTGAGCTGTAGAGAGGCGCCCGCCCCACTGGACCCCAGGGACAAGTCCACGCCAGCACTCCAGGTAGGAGGCTGGGTGGACATTTTTTTTAATTAAAATATAATAATTTGTTCTTGTGTGTGTGTGTGTCTGTGTGTGAGTCTGTGTGTGAGTGTGTCTGTGTGTGAGTGTGAGTGTGTGTGTGTGTGTGTGTGTGTGTGTGTGTGTGTGTGTGTGTGTGTGTGTGTGTGTGTGTGTGTGTGTGTGTGTGTGTGTGAGTGTGTGTGTGTGTGTGTGTGAGTGTGTATGTGTGTCTGTGTGTGAGTGTGTGTGTGTGTGTCTGTGTGTGTGAGTGTGTGTGTGAGAGTGTGTGTGTGTGAGTGTGTGTGTTATTGTGTGTGTTATTGTGTGTGTTATTGTGTGTGTGTGTCTGTGTGTGAGTGTGTGTGGCGAAACCGACCTCGCCACGTGTCCTTGGAGGGGGCTGCTTGTCCGCCTCTTGCCTTTGGACTATGGACCAGACTTTATGTGAATGTGTTAACCCAGATAGCTATGCCATGGAGCCCATTCGTGTAGTTAAAAACTTCGGCTCCATGGCAATGGAACTGTGTGAATAGGATCTGAGCGCTATTCGGTAGTTTTGTGCGCTCAGATCCCAGCTATCTGGGGATATGTGAAATGTCTGTGTGTTATGTGTAAAAGGTGACTTTAGGTATTTTAAAGTGTTTTATGTCTTTTTGCAACCATGTGCTCAATGGAGTCTGCCTCTATTCCTGGATAATTGGATTACTTTCCCCATTGTCTCCAGGATAGAGGGCTCTGTAAAACCTGTTTGAGCCAGATAGCCATGTGCCAGCCAGGGCCCAAAAGATACTTTTACTAACTTTTGAACCCCTGGTTGGATTCATGCCATTTTTTAATATGTTGTTCCCCTGAATGGATTGATTGTGAATATGTAATTTTATGTGAATGTGATGTATGGTTTTAAAGTTATGAAAGTTGGGTAGAAGGTATGTTTTAACTGTATGTGTAATTGAGTTTCCCCTCAGGATAAGGGGAGGGAATATGTGGGATGTAACTGATATGTGATTGGTTGTTTTATACCTCCCTGTGGGCGGTCCTTTATGTGAAAGGCTGTAATAAAAACCAGGCTGGGTGTGCCAGCACAGGAGTTCCTGTTTAACCCTCAAAGTGAAGTGTCGTCTCATTATTGGGGGAAGGATTTATTGTATGCTGTTCCAGTTTGACTGCTAGGAGGGTAAACCTATTCGTATGGTTTCCTATTCAACTGTCTACAGCATTCATATGCTTGGGAGAATTTATTTGTTTCTCCGGTTCAGTGATTGTGGTGTCTGCCAGAGTGCTTGGAGTCCTCAGGAAGCGCTAGGAGCATCCTTCAACGGAGGTACCCAGTCAGGGTGCCAGGCGATCCGTTACAGTGTGTGTCTGTGAATGTGTGTCTGTGAGTGTATGTGTCCACAGCAGCATGGAGGGAGGCAGGAGAGGACCCAGGGAGCTCTAGACAGAAGCTACGCCAGGTTCCTCTGGCGATATCTGAGCGTTGCTGCGGCAATACTCAGATCTCGTGAGAGTTAACTCTAGCCCCGCAGGCTAGAGTTCACTCTCCACTGGACCACCAGGGATGGCACATGGCAGCAAGGATTTACTAATCTGCCAAATCCCTCCAAACATACAGCACACACACATACAGCACCTACACACATACAGCTCACACACACACAGTACACTAACCGCACCCTCATAAACACACACAGCACCTTTAAAAAAAACACAACACCCTCACACACAGCACACTAACAGCACCCTCACAAACACACACACACACAAACAGCACCCTCACAAATGCACGACACTCACACAAACAGCATGCTCACAGGACAAACATACACACACAAACACCCTCACACACAAACAGCACAGTCACAAACACACACACACACAAACAACCTCGCATCACACTAACAGCACCCTCACACACACATCACACTAACAGCACACAGCACACTAACAGCACACACAGCAGTGTGTGTTTGTATATATATATATATATATATATATATATGTATATATATATATATATATATAGATACATACACACACATACGCGCGGCGGTGTGTTTGTGCTTTAGGGTGCACATCCCACGGTTAGTCGGCTGTGTCTGCTTTCCCAGCTTGGGGGTTGGCATATACTCCTCTCCGGAGAGGTCTTCGGAAAAGTCAGAGCAGCCACCGTGGAGCGCCACCATGTTGGTCTTGTTAAATTCGCAGGCTTGTCTCCACATGTCACCAATTGTAAGTCCCTGGGTGTTTTTTCCTTAGGTGTTTTTTTTGTTTTTCGCACCATGTCACACAGGGGTGTGTAGTGTATCTTTGCTGTGTTTTGGGGATGCTCAGCCTGGGTTTTTCCACGGTTTTTCTCGTTTTTATTGTGGAGCTCTCTACAAGTATATTTTTAATTAATGTAATTAAAATAACTGCACACTCTTGGAATACTAATTAGTAGCCTGGATTTTTGTAATATTTATGATTATGTACAAATATTTATTGTTACTAATTGTTTATTTTTTACGGATATTCAGTACACCTTTTTGTTTAAGAAATTAAGAAATTTAACATCCTTATAAGACAAATATCCTTCTGGGTAACATGTTTAATGCTCTGCGACAATAAATTAGTAAGGTAACTTGTTTTATTAACTGTTAGTTTAGAATCTAGAAAACTAGAAAAATAGTATTACTGTGAAAAAGAAAAACAAGTACATTAATAATAAATATATATCAAATTAAAGCACTTAAATCTATATTTTCTGTCATTCCAGATTACAGATGGATAAGGAGGAAGGATAGAACCTTGAATTTTGATTCAGAAGAGGCTAATGTGAGATTTTCTCTGGATGATTATAAATTGATAAATGAAAGACAATACAATGTGGAAAATCCCAATTTCCATCTCCACGAGATGGAAACGTGTCCTCCGTGCCCCACAGCTTACACCACAACGTATGTGACTCTGACAGTATCACAAAGTGCATTAATTACAACAACAACCTCACAAACTACAACATCCATCACACCAGGGATAACAACATCAGAGATCTTAAAACCAAACACAACTACAATAACAAATATATCACCAACAGTACCAGCAAGCACTATAAACACTGTACCAACAACAATGGAAACAGCAAGCACAAATACAACCTTACACCCAACTCTGACATTAACTGAAACACCTATTACCACTGTAATCTCCACACCAGCAACAGGCCCAACATCACCCAGTATATCTTTCCATTCCACAGCAGCACCTTTACCAACACTGCTCAGTACCACTGTACGTCCCACAACCACACCTGGCACAGGCACACCACGTATCACTGAAGGTCCTACATTAACAACTAGCAAGACAATAGCCAGTACCACTTTAGCTTCTATAACTGTACCATCAACAGCCAGTACCACTTCAGATTCCACAGCAACTAGCCCAACAACAGCGAGTACCACATTAGATACCAACACAAAAACTAGTCCTAAAACAGACAGCACCAATGTAATACCCATAACAACTTCACTGACAACAAAGAGTTCCAGTATTGCTCCCACAACATCTATTCAATCAGCAGGTATCATTACTTTAACTTCCAAAACACCAGACTCAACAACAGCCAGCACCACTGTAGCATCCACAACAACTAGTCCAACAGCAACCAGTACAACTGGAATTTCTATCACAGCTAGCCCAGCAGCAACCAGTACAACTGGAACTTCTACCACAGCTAACCCAACAGAAACTGGCACAAATGGAACTTCTATGACAACTAGCCCAACAGCAACCAGTACAAATGGAACGTCTACCACAGCTAACCCAACAGCAACCAGTACAACTGAAACTTCTACAACAACTAGCCCAACAGCAACCAGTACAACTGGAACTTCTAGAACAACTAGCCCAACAGCAACCAGTACAACGGGAACTTCTACCACAGCTAGCCAAACAACAACCAGTACAACTGGAATTTCTATCACAGCTAGCCCAGCAGCAACCAGTACAACTGGAGCATCTACCACAGCTATCCAAACAGCAACCAGTACAATGGGAACTTCTACAACAATTAGCCCAACAGCAACCAGTACAATGGGAACTTCTACAACAACTAGACCAACAGCAACCAGTACAACTGGAACTTTTACGGCAACTAGCCCAACAGAAACCACTACAACTGGAACTTCTACAACAAATAGTCCAACAGCAACCAGTACAACGGGAACCTCTATGACAAATACCCCTACAGCAACCAATACAATGGGAACTTCTACAACAACTAGCCCAACAGCAACAAGTACAACAGGAACCTCTACAACAACTAGCCCAACAGCAACCAGTACAATGGGAAATTCTCCAACAAATAGCCCAACAGCAACCAGTACAATTGGAACTTCTACCACAACTAGCCCAACAGCAAAAAGTACAACTGGAACTTCTACAACAACTAGCCCAACAGCAACAAGTACAACAGGAACCTCTACAACAATTAGACCAACAGCAACCATTGCAACGGGAAATTCTACAACAAATAACCCAACAGCAACCAGTACAATGGGAACTTCTACAACAAATAGTTCAACAGCAACCAGTACAGAAGGAACTTCTACCACAACTAGACTAACAGCAACCAGTACCACTGGAACCTTTACTTCAACTAGCCCAACAGCATCCAATACAACTCTGACTTCTACAACAATTAGCCCAACAGCAACCAGTACAACAGGAACTTCTACCACAACTAGCCCAACAGCAACCAGTACAAGTGGAACCTCTACAACAACTAGCTCAAACGCAACCGGTACAACTGGAACTTCTACAACAACAAGCCCAACAGCAACCAGTACAACTGGAACTTCTATAACAAATAGCCCAACAGCAACCAGTACAACAGGAACTTATACCACAACTAGCCTAACAGCAACCAGTACAACTAGAACTTCTACACCAAATAGCCCAACAGCAACCAGTACAACAGGAACGTCTACCACAACTAGTCCAACATCCACCAGTACAATTGGAACTTCTACAACAAATAGCCCAACAGCTATCAGTACAACGGGAACTTCTACAAAAACTAGCCCAACAGCAAGTGGTACAACTGGAACTTCTACCAGAGCTGTCCCAACAGCAACCAGTACAACTGGAACGTTTTCCACAGCTAGCCCAATAGCAACCAGTACAACTAGATTGTCTACAACAACTAGCCCAACAGCAACCAGTACAACAGGAATGTCTACAACAACTAGCCCAACAGCAACCAGTACAATGGGAAATTCTACAACAAAAAGCTCAACAGCAACCAGTACAATTGGAACTTCTACCGCAACTAGCCCAACAGCAAAAAGTACAACTGGAACTTCTACAACACCTAGCCCAACAGCAACAAGTACAACAGGAACCTCTACAACAACTAGTCAAACAGCAACCATTGCAACGGGAAATTCTACAACAAATAACCCAACAGCAACCAGTACAATGGGAACTTCTACAACAAATAACCCAACAGCAACCAGTACAATGGGAATCTATACAACAACGAGCCCAACAGCAACCAGTACAACAGGAACTTATACCACAACTAGCCCAACAGCAACCAGTACAACTGGAACTTCTACAACAACTAGCCCAACTGCAACCAGTACAACAGGAACATTTACAACAACTGGCCCAACAGCAACCAGCACAACGGGAACTTCTACCACAACTAGCCCAACAGCAACCAGTACAACTGGAATTTCTACCACAGCTAACACAACAGCAACCAGCACAATGGGAACTTCTACAACAAATAGCCCAATAGCAACCAGTACAACAGGAACTTCTACAACAAATAGTTCAACAGCAACCAGTACAGAAGGAACTTCTACCACAACTAGCCTAACAGCAACCAGTACCACTGGAACTTTTACTTCAAATAGCCCAACAGCATCCAATACAACTCTGACTTCTACAACAATTAGCCCAATAGCAACCAGTACAACAGGAACTTCTACCACAACTAGCCCAACAGCAACCAGTACAAGTGTACCTTCTACAATAACGAGTCCAACAGCAACCAGTACAACTGGAACCTCTACAACAACTAGCTCAACCTCAACCGGTGCAACTGGAACTTCTACAACAACAAGCCCAACAGCAACCAGTACAACTGGAACTTCTATAACAAATAGCCCAACAGCAACCAGTACAACAGGAACTTATACCACAACTAGCCTAACAGCAACCAGTACAACTGGAACTTCTACACCAAATAGCCCAACAGCAACCAGTACAACAGGAACGTCTACCACAACTAGTCCAACAGCCACCAGTACAATTGGAACTTCTACAACAAATAGCCCAACAGCAACCAGTACAACGGGAACGTTTTCCACAGCTAGCCCAACAGCAACCAGTACAACTATATTGTCTACAACAACTAGCCCAACAGCAACCAGTACAACGGGAACTTCTTCCACAGCTAGCCCAACAGCAACCAGTACAACTGGATTGTCTACCACAACTAACCCAACATCAACCAGTACAACTGGAATGTCTACAACAAACAGCCCAACAGCAACCAGTACAACGGGAACTTCTTCCACAGCTAGCCCAACAGCAACCAGTACAACTGGATTGTCTACAACAGCTAGCCCAACAGCAACCAGTACAACTAGCTTGTCTACAACAACTAGCCCAACAGCAACTAGTACAACAGGAACCTCTACAACAAACAGCCCAACAGCAACCAGTACAACGGGAACTTCTTCCACAGCTAGACCAACAGCAACCAGTACAACTGGATTGTCTACAACAACTAGCCCAACAGCAACCAGTACAACTGGAATGTCTACAACAACTAGTCTAACAGCAACCAGTACAACTGGAACTTCATCAACTATTAGCCCAACAGCAACCAGTACAACGGGAATGTCTTCAACAAACAGCCCAACAGCAACCAGTACACCGGGAACTTCTACAACAAATAACCCAACAGGAACTTCTACCACAACTAACCCAACAGCAACCAGTACAACTGGAATGTCTACAACAAACAGCCCAACAGCAACCAGTACAATGGGAACTTCTTCCACAGCTAGCCAAACAGCAACCAGTACAACTGGATTGTCTACCACAACTAACCCAACAGGAACCAGTACAACTGGAATTTCTACAACAACTAGCCCAACAGCAACCAGTACAACTATAACTTCTACCACAACTAACCCAACAGCGACCAGTACAACTGGAATTTCTACAACAACTAACCCAACAGCAACCTTTACAAATGGAACTTCTACAACAACTAGCCTAACAGCAACCAGTACAACTGGAACTTCTACCACAGCTAGCCAAACAGTAACCAGTACAATGGGAAATTCTACAACAAATAGCCCAACAGCAACCAGTACAACTGGAATTTCTACAACAACTAACCCAACAGCAACCGGTACAAATGGAACTTCTACAACAACTAGCCTAACAGCAACCAGTACAATGGGAACTTCTACCACAGCTAACCCAACAGCAACCAGTACAACTGGAACTTCTACCACAGGTAGCCAAACAGCAACCAGTACAACTGGAACTTCTACCACAACTAGCCCAACAGCAACCAGTACAACTGGAACTTCTACAACAACTAACCCAACAGCAACCAGTACAATGGGAACCTCTACAACAAACAGCCCAACAGCAACCAATACAATGGGAACTTCTACCACAGCTAGCCCAACAGCAACCAGTACAACTGGAATATCTACAACAAATAGCCCAACAGCAACCAGTACAATGGGAACTTCTACCACAACTAGCCCAACTGCAACCAGTATAACTGGAACTTCTACCACAACTAACCCAACAGCGACCAGTACAACTGGAATTTCTACAACAACTAACCCAACAGCAACCTTTACAAATGGAACCTCTACAACAACTAGCCTAACAGCAACCAGTACAACTGGAACTTCTACCACAGCTAGCCAAACAGTAACCAGTACAATGGGAAATTCTACAACAAATAGCCCAACAGCAACCGGTACAAATGGAACTTCTACAACAACTAGCCTAACAGCAACCAGTACAATGGGAACTTCTACCACAGCTAACTCAACAGCAACCAGTACAACTGGAACTTCTACCACAGGTAGCCAAACAGCAACCGGTACAACTGGAACTTCTACCACAACTAGCCCAACAGCAACCAGTACAACTGGAACTTCTACCACAACTAGCCCAACAGCAACCAGTACAACTGGAACTTCTACAACAAATAACCCAACAGCAACCAGTACAATGGGAACCTCTACAACAAACAGCCCAACAGCAACCAATACAATGGGAACTTCTACCACAGCTAGCCCAACAGCAACCAGTACAACTGGAATATCTACAACAAATAGCCCAACAGCAACCAGTACAATGGGAACTTCTATCACAACCAGCCCAACAGCAACCAGTATAACTGGAACTTCTACCACAACTAACCCAACAGCGACCAGTACAACTGGAATTTCTACAACAACTAACCCAACAGCAACCTTTACAAATGGAACCTCTACAAAAACTAGCCTAACAGCAACCAGTACAACTGGAACTTCTACTACAGCTAGCCAAACAGTAACCAGTACAATGGGAAATTCTACAACAAATAGCCCAACAGCAACCAGTACAACTGGAATTTCTACAACAACTAACCCAACAGCAACCGGTACAAATGGAACTTCTACAACAACTAGCCTAACAGCAACCAGTACAATGGGAACTTCTACCACAGCTAACTCAACAGCAACCAGTACAACTGGAACTTCTACCACAGGTAGCCAAACAGCAACCAGTACAACTGGAACTTCTACCACAACTAGCCCAACAGCAACCAGTACAACTGGAACTTCTACAACAAATAACCCAACAGCAACCAGTACAATGGGAACCTCTACAACAAACAGCCCAACAGCAACCAATACAATGGGAACTTCTACCACAGCTAGCCCAACAGCAACCAGTACAACTGGAATATCTACAACAAATAGCCCAACAGCAACCAGTACAATGGGAACTTCTACCACAACTAGCCCAACAGCAACCAGTACAACTGGAATTTCTACCACAACTAGCCCAAAAGTAACCAGTACAACTGGAACTTCTACAAAAACTAGCCCAACAGCAACCACTGAAAGCCCCACAACAATAGCAGTGGCAACTGTCAGGAGCAGTGTAGTTTCAACAATAAATGGCTCAGTAGCAAACATTTCCATGGTAGAAAACACAACTGAAACTAGCATGAGTGGATTAAGAATAATTGAGACAAACCATTTCCAAACCAATAGCAGAATGAAAGTAGTGGCTACAACAATTGTAATTGTTGACTCTGAAACATGGACAACATCGACGACATCAATCAGTACAGCTTCTGTAACTCCTACCCAGGATGGGGGAACATTGACTACTCATCACTCGGGTACTACTTGCCCACCATGTGTTTATGATGACTTTACTACAACCAAAGATGCTCACATCTCAACAATACCTGAAGAAGGTAATGTGCAATAGTTTAAAAATATGTATACACATTTTTTATATATATAAATCTTGTTTTTCCTCTATAGACACCCAGACCACTGTAGCTCATTGAAATAATCTGCCAGGGTTTCTACCAGTCACTAGAGGGACTTCCAGGTGGAAGTGCATTAACACACCCAGTATCACCCAAAACCCCATAGGAAAGCATTGTAGAATGCTTTCCTAAGGGAAAAGTCCTAATGCAAGCACGGCCATTGTATTAGGTCCCCCCACTGGCTAATGTTTGTGGGGAAGGAGAAAAGGCATAGCCTGAACCAGCACCAAGGGATTTTGGTGCTGGAATCAGTTAAGTGACCAAAAATGTTTTTAACACCTTTTGCACCACGGTGGGGAAGGGGGCATGAAGGGTGGGGGCAATATAGAGAGCCATAGTGCCAGGAAAACAACTTTGCTTTCCTAGCACTATAATTTCAATTTAACAAAAGGACAACCATAAAGAACGATATAAAAATAAATTGTTATTCCTGTTTGATTCAGAACCATTGGATGTTTCTAGGTGGATGTAATTGTTGAGGTGCTACTTTAAATATCCTACATGGAGAAGGTGACATGTCATTGTTAAGCAATATGTTTAGGGTTTACTCTATATGTGTACATACATTTTCCAGAGTGCGGGGAACATGGATTTTTTGATGGAATTAGATGCATCTGCAACAAAGGTTATGCTGGTCCTCGGTGTGAGAATTCAACAGGAGAATGTGAGAATGGAGGATTTATCAATAATATCATCTGTTCCTGCCCTACACAATTCTATGGACCAACCTGCCAGTATGCTAACAGCACCATTACAGTAGGTAAGTGTCTACCATAGGTATGCCAGGTTTCGAAAATTGTCATAGATGGCCAATGGAGGAGAATTCTTCTGATATTGCCCAAAGCTCAAATGAGAAGCAGGAATAGGAATGCAGTGATGGTAATGTAGTACATTTGGAGATACGTTTAGCTATGATGCCATTGTACTGAAATCCGACCGTAGGAGAATAAAATTTCAAAATGTCACCAGTAGACATAATATGAAAGGGTAACTAAAAAAAGAACATAGGCTCGATCACTAATTCTGATAACAGTTTTGTATTTGCTATGAACCTAATGCTAACTAAATAAAACTGGATGCATTCCAGCTTTTTCCAAAAGAATCTGAAATATGCAAAGTCTGACCTATTTATACATCACTAAGCCCTTTTAATTCACTTTTTTTGTTTGTTTTTCTCTTTTTGCTGAATAAATAAGAGATATAAGAGATAAGGTATATTGGTATCGGGTAGAACAGCTCAAACATATAGATTAATAAAAGAAGATATATGGAATATAGGCAAATATTACATACTGAATGAATAGCAAAATGAAGAAAAATTCAGTATTTCATTCATTTTGTTACAAAAAAATTATGAATTCCTATGTAAACAAATTAACGGATAGGTCACTAAACTAATTTCAAGTCAATTAATTTGTTTGTTCATTTTTTTTATTTTACACACAGGATTTATTTATTTTGATACATATTAATGGTTTAATTAAATTAATTGAGTAGGCTAAAATGTTTATGAATTTCGGACGAAACGAACAGATATGTGAACAAATTTCAGGATTACCCAAAATTGAATTTTTGTTTTAGAACTAATGAACAAACTGAAACTAACCTTGCACGTTGAACATTTCACAAATCACCAGCGGTTTGTTTAAATATGAGATATTACAGTAAAAGAATATAAACGTGAAGATAGGGCACTGACAGCACTATATTATGGGTGTAAACTAACAACCCAAAGAAGCCTAGATTCAGATCTCCATAGACCGACTTTGGGCGCCGTCTCAGACCCAAACCGGGAGCAGATTTCACCACAATGTGCAGGACTGCCATCTGATCTTCAATCATAGCACAGTGTCGAAAGACACAATACATACTTTATCTGAGGGAAACACAATATGAAAATACTTAGTACTATGAGTTATACTGCTATTTTAATAATTGAATCCACTCGATTTCCTTTTAATATCTTATTAGATACTGTGGAACTCACTATTGGTGTTGTTGTCCGAATTACCAATGAGGAATATACAGATGAACTACAAGATGAAACAAGTGAAAAATATAGAACATTTGTTCGTAAATTTAAACTTCAGGTAAGACTCCAGAATGAATTAATGATGTATTCAATATAATGCCAGGTCTGATATACCATAAAGTAAAACATTATCGGATTGTGTAATTATAGCATTTATAAGTTACTTTTTAATAATAGTTTGTGGATAATATAGCAATCTGCTGGTTTACATGTGTTTGTATTGACTGCAGATCTTCGTGGCAAGACCCTGTAACTATCTATGGTGAATAGGGTCCACTGGGGTCTAGTCTTTGGCTGGATGTACTTGGGGACAGATGGCTTTTTAGGGGAAGTATATTTAGTATTTGAGTAATAGCTGTATGTAAAAGACTGGAAGGTTTAATCATGGGTGAGTGGATATAAATATCAAAGCCATAATCCTTGCTTAGAGCAGTGGTTTATAAACACTGGTAATGCCATAACAGAGTGTCCTGCTAGAACGACAGAGACATTGTATCCATCAAGTCCCCAGTAATTCCTCAAGTTAAGCACGTGCTGTAATGCTCCTGCGTTCCCTAGTCCAAGGAGATCCATTTAATATTAGGAACAATCTAATGAAGATGTTTCACAATATTTATTTTAATATTAACCAAGTCACACTGGAAGACTGGTCCACTGGCCTTTTCCAATTGAAGAACGGTTTGTTATTCTCAAATGCTGTTGATAATCCAGGTCTCTGACCAGATATGATTAAGTATTCTCACTTGCATCCCACATACAACGGTTACGTATTTCTCAGTGGCCTCACATGTATGAGCTATGGTTGTACATGTTATGGATATGCATTTATGCTTTCTCAGGTATACAGTACTGGCTACGCATTCTTTATTTATTATACACATAAGTGATGGTTAATCTTTACTTATTCTTACACACACTTTTTATGGTCACGCTTTTCATGTTATCACATCTTTTTGTCCTTACGCATGTGATTTATGGTTACACTTTTCCTTGCCACATGCACAAAACTTATTAAAAAAAGCATTCCTAGTTGCATCAGGTACACTAGTTTTGCTTTCTCAGTGTGCCGCACCAGTTATGGTAAATGTCTACAGCAATGGCGTGCGATTTGTCACGTATGCCTTCAAGAATACTCTGAGTGTAGCTTATCTTTCATTAATTGATAATTCGGTTTATGATTTCAATTTATGATTTTCTTACACCCACAATTATGGTACACTTATTCAGTTTCCTCATATTCACATATTTAGTAATGCATCTTCTTGTATGATTATACATGATTTGTTTCCTTATGATAGGGGAGGTATGATAGTATTATTTAAATACATAAAGGGAATCAACACAGTAAAGGAGGAGACCATATTTAAAAGAAGAAAAACTACCACAACAAGAGGACATAGTCTTAAATTAGAGGGACAAAGGTTTAAAAATAATATCAGGAAGTATTACTTTACTGAGAGGGTAGTGGATGCATGGAATAGCCTTCCAGCTGAAGTGGTAGAGGTTAACACAGTAAAGGAGTTTAAGCATGCGTGGGATAGGCATAAGGCTATCCTAACTATAAGATAAGGCCAGGGACTAATGAAAGTATTTAGAAAATTGGGCAGACTAGATGGGCCGAATGGTTCTTATCTGCCGTCACATGCTATGTTTCATCTTTCACAAATCACACGTTCAAGTAATGTCCGGGCCTTATGCCAAGTAGTCAGTTTCCTTATTCAAAAGTCACACGCTTTATTTTACTTATGGGCCTATATGCCACTCATGTCAAAGCTTCCATATCAAGTTATATGAAAGTCTGATACCCCATGCTCATTATTACATTTATAGATTGTCTGTCACACTCAAATTTTAGATAGGTTTAAATAACAGATGTACACACTGCCTCTTATTAGTACACTCCTGCACTTTCTTAACTCATAAATCTTAATATTTACCCTGCCATCGCCTGATATTCCAATTATTTCCAATTTTTATTTTTCACAGTTTAGCAATGATCTGTCTTCTCCTCCTCTTTATTTCCTCATTCTCCCTCAGAATAAAAATTTCTCCTTACACCCACTTCACTCATCCCCCCATCCACATTTACATATGCCCTTCTCTGCTACACTCCCCCCTTCTCTCATCTCATGCCTTGCACTCATTTTTCTACTCTCTCACTCCGACCCACAATCGATCCCATCCTAGACCCCATGCACACCTCCTGTCACTTTCTCTCCTCCTGCTTCTAGCAGCTGGTGATGTCTCTCCCAATCCAGGGCCCCTCACCTTCTCTACACAAACTAAGACAACCAGAAACCCCACAAATACCCTGCCCTTTACCCACACTTACTAACATTCAGTGTGCACTCTGGAATGCCTGCTCCATCTGCAGTAATTTAAAATCAACAGCCATACACGACTTTTTCATCTCAAACTCACTCACACTACTTGCACTTACAGAGACCTGGCTGTCCACCTCTGATAGCGCTACTCCTGCCTCTTCATGTTTTGGTGGGCTACAATTCTCTAACACTCTCAGACTCAACAGTAAAGGAGGTGGTGTAGGCACAATGTACCATTCACACTGTCCACCTATTTAAACCCTCTCCTTTAAGAATTGCTATCATCTACCCCTCCCACCCACCCAGTCATCCTAGGCTATTCATTGAGTACTTTTCTTCCTCTCATCGAGCACTCCTTCCTTTATACTTGGGGATTTCAATATCCCAACCAACAACCCCAACTGCACTGATGCTTCTCGTCTGCTCTCTGTAACCTCCTCCTTTGGCCTTAGGCAATGGTCCAATTTAAATCCATATAGCGGGAAACACTCTGAACACCATCTGCTGACTTTTGACATCGGCATACCTAAGACCCAATTGACACCACCGTCTGAACATCATTTTCAAAGAAACCTCCAATGTCTTAACCTAGAGCATTTCTCCACTAATCGCCAAACTCTCTTTTTACCTATCTCAAACCTCACCTGTCCTAGCTCTGCAATCTCCTTCTACAAGACTTCTCGAAGGCTGCACCGTTTATGTGGAACTCACTTCCCTC